GATTCCAAAAATAATATTATATACAGAGTGTTCCATTTGAAAAATCAAAGTTGCTACTGCTTTCTAATAGAAGCGGCAACACCGCATTGTCGAAAATATTTTAGTTGGCTAGAGAATGTCCGAATATGCCCTTCATTAAATTTTCAAAGTGATCCGTTGTCTGGTTCACCAGAAACGTCTAATGTGCCATCCACCATGAATCAGCCTGTATAGTAGATATTGATTAAATTGAAAAGGATATATTTTTATGAGATTAATTTTTAGGAAAGATAGGTTTTGGCTTTCTATTTCTCCATCTTTATACAAAGACAGAACACAAGAACTGAAGGAAAATCCAAGAATGCTGTCATCGGCAAAGCAATATACTTATTCATTGACTATCTTGAAAAGGGGAAAACTATTAACTGCGACTATTTCGTGTAGCGTTGTTGGAGCGTTTGAAGGACGAAATCGCGAAAAACAGACCCATTTGAAGAAAACGCTGATTCATCAAGACAATGCATCGTGTCACTAATCAATAAAGAGGGTTGGAGACAATATGGATTCCTGGGGAACACCATCAGATGTGTAGATTATGCAGAGAAGTAACTTTCAGACACAAACTGGAATAAACATCCCTCTTGAAACAGCTATTCTCATGTAAACATTGAATTAAACGAAAGAAAAAATACTTTCAAAGCAACTACTTTTTTACACATTGAATCAATTTTGTATCTATTCAGTTCCCTACTTCAAACAGTCGTTATGGAATTGAATCAGATATAATTCACAGGATTGCTACACAATATAGTAAATGAAAAAAAGCCAGAACCTTTCTTTCCCAAAAATAGGTATTGATATTTCTCTAATTGCGGAAGCATCTGCAAAGTTGTTCTTGTACAGCAAATAGTACGTCTGAAGTTTAGTTTTTGCTATATAAATAAAAAAAAAACCGAAGTTGTAAACCATGAAGTGATTTATTCTTGGTTTCTAGAAAAACTTCACGAATCCCACCCCTACAGGTGGAATCAAAGTGAATAGAATTTAATCTTCACAAACTTTATTTTTTTAAATATCGCATGTTTCGCTAGCACAGTAGCTTTTTCAAAGTGAATAACATACTAAAAGTCGATTCTTTACTCTAATTTTTATACCATGGTAGGTAGTTCTGAATAGTGATTATGTGAGGTATATAAAAATTAGAGTAAATAATGTACTTTTAGTTTATTAACTTTGAAAAAGCTACTGTGATAGCGAAACATGTCGTGATATTTTTGAAAATAAAGTTTGTGAAGACCAATCTTAAGGTGTAGTTTATTAAGTCGCTATACACTAGCTTCCTCAGACGTGTTCATACTTGTATGAACACCTGTAATATAATAAAATTACATATCAATATTAGAACACACATTTAATAAAAATAAATTGTTCAATTCCATTATTGGTCATCAAGTAACTGTTTCCAATTCCTAAATCTATTGATTTCCAAGCATTTCAAAAAATTTAATTCAAACCTCTCGTTCGAAATATTAGACGTTACAATCGTGATTGAACTCACGCCCCTCTGTCAAAAGACGGTTTGCAAATTTGAAATTGCTCTCTACATTGAAGAGACCACTGCTATGTTCTTGTATTCTTTGGGGAAAGGTTCCTTCCGTTTGGCCAATATAAAGTTTTAGACAAGAATCACAATACAACTCATATACTTTTGATGTATCCGACACTGAAGGTCTATTTTATTGTTTTTTTTTAGCACAATTTGTTTTGAACGCTGAATCTAAGTGAGTTCAACATTGAAGTTTACTGTTATAAAGATGCCTATTATTTTTAATTGTGAATCTAAAGAATATGTACAAGAATAGCTTTGTGGGTTTTTTTCCAGCAGTAACATAATAATGATATACGGGATCTGTTGAAAAATAAAGTGAATTTTCATTTTTCTAATCAAAGAAAACAGTGAGCAAAATCTTGACATTTGATCGAACTTGGCGTGTTTTTTTGGTCTTGTCTCTTTTGGGCTCTTCCATTGGAACGATTGGACTTTGGTTTCGATGTCATAACCATTTACCAATGATACATCACCCTTTTAAGCAAATCTGGATCGCCGTTGACATCATTCAACAATTCTTGAGCAATGCTCATGTGACGGTTTCTTTAGTCAAAATTCAACAAATTTGGAACGAAACATTTTTCTGGCTCAGAGTACAATCATCGTATGCCACTGTCAACATTTCGAGTGGTTTTTGAGTACTTGATTCCATTTTTAGCACAAAATTTGATGCAAATTATTTGATCCTTTTTTTTTTCATAACAGAAAATTGCCAAACACGCAAAACATTTCAACTTTTATGTCGCTTACCAACAAACTAAATATGCTAAACAGCTCAAACTGTTAACATATGTTCGAGACGAGTGTACCAACATAATAAATTCGGTAATTTAATGTACGTAGCACGCGAAGTTTGAACATTCACCTGATTTTTTTAACAGACCCTGTATATATTCGCTGCAGTCCAAAGCAAAGAATGAATTAATTTTTTGTGTTATTGACGATTTCAAAAGAATATCCTGATATGAAAAGATCACTTTGACGTGTATTTGACAAAACATTAGAAAACATTTTTTAGGTTATTAAATTATTCCAGGTTAGGAGTAGATTTTTTTACTCATTCCATTTTGAAATACTAACACTAATAAGTATTATTCAAATATGTTTACTTCATTGCAATATTGTCACTCATTGTATAACCAGTCAGTATGAAAATGAGTTTCATAAGGGTTTCATATCTGTGACGGAGTTCATTTCGAGAGCGAAATCCAGTCTAGACATTAGAAATATGTCGATTCGTTGAAAATGTCTCATTCTAGACTTGATTTTTGTTCTTATATTATTTACTAGTAGTTTAGATATTGTATTGTGCTGCATAGATGCATGATTAGACATCGTTGGACCCCTTAATTACTATCCCATCTCAAATTAGTTTGAAAATGAAATCATGCTTGCGTAAGGGAAATTGGGGAATATCGACTAGAATTTCCATAATAGACCTCCATTTATTCTTAGAATTTATGATTTTAGTAATGCCTTTTATTGAATGGATTTAATGAAGAAATTGTGAATGGAGTTTTGTGTCAACAGACGGGAATATCGAGACCTGAACAAGTTTTTCTATAATCTTCATTTCTATCGAGATCGATTGAAATGATCTGACAAGAAAATTGTGAAATATAATCATCTTCCTACACGGAAAGCACAGTTTTTACAGTTCACGGCAAACTTTTGCCATGAATTTTGAACATCGATGGCCCAAAGATGACTCCTTGTGGCATACCCGTTTTGAAATCCATAATCAGTGTCTTTACTAGGCATAAAGGATGTCATATCTCATTTTGATGTATTTATTATCAAAATATATCAAGTCATTTGATTTTAAATCATTTGTCACTGATTGATACGACCTGTTTCGATCTAATAAAGGCATTCTGCATGTTGTATATTTAAATGAGTAATTTTGCATTTGTACAGTGAAAATAATTCGATTTGTTGCACTCTCTAACAATTTTTTTTCGTGTCATTATTAACATAAAGAAGGTATTCGTAATGTTGTTTAGAATCACTAACACACACTTCTGGTTCTCATGTGAAATTAAAATATTCGTTGATCATGAGTTGAAAAAACAATCATTTGTTGCAAAAAAAATATGTGTGATACATTTTGATATTTATACAAGGTGGTCGACTTGATATGGAATTTCTTTTTCATTTCCAAGTTTCTGAATCGAGAAGAGATTGTGATCTACAGACTGATTAAATTTTATCAAAATAAACACCTTATACGTTTATGACAACGATATATAAATATTTTATTTTGTAATATAAAGATCCAAATTGGATTCGAAAAAATTTTGGGAATGAAAAAAAAACAGTTTGAACTAAATAACGAGTAAATTTGTAAATGTGTTTCAAAGGTTCACATCAACATTTGGTTGATGTATTTTGAATTGTTATCTACTTTCAAAAGTACGTTGTCATTTTATACGGGGTGATGAAGATTTAATCCTCGTAACTCTAATGTCCATCTCAGAAATATATTTAAAAAAATTGATGATTTTCCAAGAAAGTAAATCAATTTTCAACAGAACAGATATTATGAAATTTTTTGAAATGAGTATTTCACAAGGCGAGTTTATATTTTTTCTTTCCATACTTGTATAAATAATTTTGTTGTGATACTTTTGGAGATGTGTTGACTTTTTGTATATTTGAAATTGTCGTTCTTATTGTAAATGATTGTTTTCACTGAAAAAAAAAGGCTTACAGAGTTATGAGGATTATTCTATCGCCTTGTTGGGGGACTTTCAAGTGGATACATGAATTCGATATTTAATATGTAGTCATTCTTGAGTAATTCAAGTTATTTTTTTGTCAACAGCAACAGGAGCAAGATCCGACAAATTTATATATAGCTAATCTTCCGCCAACTTTCAAAGAATCTGATCTGGACAGCATGTTATCTAAATTTGGACAGGTGAGTTACTCTTTGATTCATTTGAATGTTACTTATTTCAGTTTCATATTTCAAAATTAATATTTTTCATCAAGAGGTTCTCTGTAGTTGCCTTGCACTAAATGGCAGAATGAACCTTGTTGAGCGATCAATGTCGAAGCTTTTCTTCGATCCGATAGATGGCTTCGATGGCTAGATGATTCAGCCTAACAATCAGTAACATATCCAGCGGTCAACATCACAATTTTATGTTGCTGAAGGTCGTTCAAAGCCAAAGCAAACAGTCGCCACCTCGTCCACGCAGTTGTAGGTCGTTCAAGATCGATTCATTAAAACAAGATAACCGCTTGACATAGAGTGCCAGTCAAGGTCGTTCAAGGTCAAACCAAAAATACCATTCCAAAGTCGCCTTGTCTGCGTGGTGTGACGTAGGTTGAGGTCGTTCAAGGTCAAACACAAAACACTCCCCCAAAGTCACCATGGTTACGTCGTGTTGCGTAGGTTCCAAACTTCAAGATAGCCGCGTAACTGGCTCGAGTTCTATCGAGGTCAGTCACCTTGTCGAAATTATGAGGCGTTAATGAAGGTCGTTCAAGGTCATACTTAAAACACTACCTCAGAGCCACCTTGTCTGCGTCGTGTGCCGTAGGTCAAGGTCGTTCAAGGTTAAACCCAAAAAACTCGGAAGTTACCTTGACTACATTGTGCAACGTAAGTGAAGGAAGATTAAAAGTGGTGGGGGGAGGTTCCGAAATCGGCTTAAACCAACACCATTAATGAGACGTTATTTGATCATAATCGAACACTGTATCATCAAATGAATGCTTTGTTTTTTGGAATCAGATTTCAGCAAGATTTGTTGATGTGAAACCCAACTGAGAAAAATACACGAACAAAATCAAATTATGGAGCTATCACACAAGATTATAATTCGGCAAGGAATAATGTATTGCAATTGTCAGGTTGCTTGTAGAGACATCCTGTAGCAGTTTTTTTATAATCGTACCTAACCTTACATTGGGACTGGCTCTGTCTAATGTTTGACATACTGGAATATTTGAATTGACAAATGTCTGGTATGGAATATAAAATAAAATGCATTTACAAAATGAATAACGAACTGCTGACAAATTTTAACAAATTTTCCCAACATTGTTACTTTTCTGCGAATTTAAAGGTTTTCGTTACTTTGTCAGCTTATTTTGTATGACAAATCGATGACACATGATGATCCATGGACCATACTGTATCACTATTATAATTTATTATCATAGATGAAACCATGCAGGAAAACAGGCTATAGTGCATTAAGCTAACTATGCGAATAACGCTTCGTGAGATTTTCACTGAATAGTTTATAAAAACGCAGCAAGTGTTTCGCTATACAACAATTTTCTCAAGCGTTTTCATATCGGCTAAATTCTGCTTAATTTGTGCTCAATATGATAACAATTTAGATCGTATGACCTTCCACGTACGTAATGACTAATAACTTTATTTTACCTGAGTTCAGGTTTGAACATCGTAAAAGAAAATTTTACTAACTTATTGAATGGGCATGTAATGAACGAATTACAATTCGTGCTTTACATAATAACAATTTGAATCATATGACCTTCTACTTACTTAGTGACTAATGATTTTGCATAAGTTTAGTTAAAAACCAATTGGAATTTTAAAGATCATATGAGAAAATGAAGAAAACTAATTACCAATTCCCACATTCGAAAACCGATTCAGAAGAGGTGAAAAATTGAATTCTATTTGGTCATTCAGTAAATTTTCAGAATTCGTACTCGATAGATAGATATACTTTATTGTCCAAGAAAATACAAGTATTAACAAAGATTGTTAAAAAATCTGGTATATACGAGTATAGCACTTCAAAGAATAAAAGAAAATAAATGGATTTCAAATCATTTTATATAGTAGACAATGGAAGTCCGAACCAGTGAAATTCATGATGTCACAAAAGTTGACTGTATCGTCTAGGAACAACTACCGGTACTCTCAGACTCTCACAATTATTAGAGATTATTAGAGAAGCTGGGCCATTCAAATCACTCTTAGTCGAAATAAGATCTGAATAATATTGTACACTTTTGATGACTTTGAGTAAATACCGTAAATACCTATATTGTTATGAAATATAGTATGAACTGAAAACTATTTTTGACTACAAAACTATGATGACTACAGAAAAGAACATCTGAACTAAAATACTGATTCTTAGCAGAGTTTGAACCATTTATTTTTCATTTTGCCAGATTTTAATTGAAAAAAGCCCTTCTACCGTCCAATTTTTGTGGAGGAAAATTAAATGTTACTTCTAAAGATTAAAAAAATAGTTTTCACTCTGAGATCTGCTGAGGAATTATCTCTCTCTTTTCTTCAACAATCATATATTATTCAATTGTTAGATCAATACCACGAAAGGTATTAGCCAGGGAAGTAGTTGTTTTCTAATAGGCGTCAGTCCATTCAATCTACTGTTTAGGTATATTCGAGACTGGCTTGAACGTTTAAAGTTAATTTTTTTAGATTTGTTTACTGCCAGTCTTCAAACAAAGCCCACTGACTAATAGGAAAGTTTTCTTCCTTACTCAGAGGAATCGGGCAAATTACGGATATGCAGTTGTTAGTACTTCGTCCACTAGATGGAGTGACATTTTGTTGTTCGTTCCAACTTAGGAAGAGGAATGAAATACTCTGAAAGAATCCCGATTTTCAATTATGGAATATCATTTACTTTAGGTCGATGATGGCCACTATCTTGCTCTGATGAGTGGCTAATGTGCTCGAAACCGGTCTGCAAGTGTGCCCGTTCCAAAATTGAAGGTCGACTCTTTCAGTTGTATTGCCAATTGCATGTATTACATGCATGAAATTTTCTGTGAAGATTCCTGAACTGACGCCTGGCAGATATAATCCAACGCCTTTCGTGGTATTAGCCAGGGGAGTACTACTGTTTAGGTATATTCGAGAATGGCTTGAACGTTTAAAGTTCATTTTTTTAGAATGCCATGAATAAATAAATCTACTAATATCTTCTTCATTTTATATATCTATGTGTGTGAATATATATGTACATATGTGTGTCTATAAGTTATTTTCTTGATCAGTTTGAGTTACTATAAGTTGTATTTCTCGAACACGAACATGAAAATAAAGATTGTTTTTATTGAAAAAGATTGGCTGGCACTCGATAAAAGAATATGAATAGTTTATTGGTGCTGATTAGCATTGAGTTTTTCACACGTCCAGAACATTAACTTAATAAACTAAAGAGACAATATAAGAATGAATAATCTTAGACTATATAAATCTAGGAATACTTCACCTTGTTATACTCCAGAATTCTACAACAAACTACCTTGCCAGCTGAATAAAGTGAAGATTATTTTGAAAGTTTATTTAACAAACAAAGCCTTCTATAGCTGAGATGAATTCCTTAACAGTATATTTAAAATGAAATGTATAATCTTTAGAATGTTGTATTTATTGTATTTGTCTCTGAGAAAATGAAATGAAAACTTTAAATTGTTGATATTGTGAAACCTACAAGTTATACACACATCGGAAAAGTCTAGGGATATTTTGATAACGTACTAAATATCATAAAAATAAATGCATGAGGTCGTTTAATTTCGATTAAATTGGTACACTCGACCACCCTGTAGATTTATCCCTTAGCGAAACATGTGTTACTGTTTTGTAAAGTATCCAGTGAAAATCTCACAATGAATTGTTTCTTGATTACATTATGGATTTTCATCGGCCAATTCCATCACAAGTAAACTATCGATTTTTAGGTAATATCTACCCGTATTCTGCGAGATGCGTCAGGAATTTCCAAAGGCGTCGGTTTCGCGAGAATGGAAAGTAAAGAGAAATGCGAATACATAATTCAAAAATTCAATGGTCACCTTCTGAATACCAGCAAGGATCCTCTCTTGGTTAAATTCGCCGACGGCGGCAACAAGAAGAAGAACATGTACAAAAATAACGACAACAGCAAAATGTGGAGGGACAACGCTGAAGGATTAGCTGCGGTCGCTTACGATCCGGCCGCTTTGGCGCAAAACGGAGTTGCTGGACAACATCTGCTGCCCGCTTTGGCCAACTACAGGCCCTACAACCAGGTGAGACTTGTCTTTACCACTCCAGAAATTGAGATTGTCAGATCTAAGCTGTTTTATTTGAATTTCGACTTCGTTTCAGTTTCCTTCGTATGCTGGGCAGTGGCCCCTGCAGTACGTGATGGCTCCTCCACTCCAAACGGTAGACGAGAGTTACAATTTGACGGGACACATGGCTGCTCAGTACAAGAACGACGGTCAGCCTCCCAGAGGTATCCCTCTGATGATACCGTCTTCGGACACGACTGTTCCTTATGCAAACATCATACCTCAGGTGAGTTTTAAAATTGTTCTGTTGCCATTACATTTCTATTCAACTTGTAAAACAATTTTATGTGAAACACTTCCTATTTTGAATTTACCAATTTGAAGATGTGTAAAGCTGTTTATGACTCATCAAGTACTGAATTATTACAGACATGTTGAGAATCGAACAGGATCTTAAACCTTGATAAAAATCTCAATATTCCCTCATTCACAACCTTTTCAAAATTTTTGAGAAAATGATTAGCAGGGCCGCGGGGCGATAGTTTGTAATATCTGATGTATCGTTCTTCTTATGAACTGGTATGATCATGGCTGTTTTTAGAATTGAAGGGAATTTGCCACTTGTGACTGATAGATTCAACAAATAAGCTAAATGTTTTGAAATGTGTAACTTATAACAAAGCAAATACTGCTCAATTTGGATACTAAATTGTTTATATGAATTTCCCATGTAAGCTTATGATCCACATAAATTCCAAGAAATTTAATATGACCAACTTGTTCTATAGACTTATGATTCATCCTTATTAATGGACTATAATCATAATGAATGTTCTTTGGCTGGAATAACATGAAAAATGTCTTTTTTATATTAACTGATAGTCCGTTATATACTAGTTGTATATAATTTAACAAACACAGTTATTAGTTTCAACAAGTATTTTTTGATTAAAAATTCAAAGGCACTGCAGGTGATTTTTTACCTTGTATCGATATCTGGTAAAGTATTATAAACCGGTCCAAACCAGCTGTGGTGTATCATAACGAAATCACAAAATTTTGTTTTGAGTAGTATACAGGAAATAAGAGTGTAATAGTAATGTTGAGGGATATTCAGCTAAAATAATTCTATTACCTTATTTTACCAACTTGTTAACTTGTATTTTTTTCCAGATAACCGCTCAGATGGGCGGAATGCAAATTGGCACAGGGTCTTACATTTCGCCCCCTTACCAATACTTTCATCCGTCAATCCTGCACGCTGTTCCCGTCGATTCGGAGCACACATCAAACGCAGCCAGCCCCGAAGATCCATACCAAACGTATCAGCCGCCACAAAAGTAATCCCTTGGCTGGGTTAATGGACAGAAAGAACGTGGAATGCCCCGATCGAAAGTTGCCCCACGAGAGGTTATTTTTTAATTTATAGATTAAAGTGTTTGTAGATTATAGATAGCTATTTATGAATTTTGGGAACGCTCCAGCAATTTTTGGGATGGGCAAGTCCGGAAAACTAAGGCGGTTGTACGAGTTGGTTTTTGTAGCCGCTCTGACTTGTTTTTTTTTGGGGATTTTTCTCTTTCATAACTTATTGTTACATTATGAAAAAAGGACTGACCTATGTGTAAAGTAGATATTTTTGATACAGTATGTTCCAAGCCCGACAACTGAATTGTATTGAAAATATGTCTTCTGGAACAACTCGATATCTGTGTAAGAAACGACTGGTATTTGTTGGGGTGATGCGAGGCAGTTGGTTGGACTGTTTTTCCTCCATCGTGCGCACGTTTGTATATAGATATTTGAAAAACTTTCTTACATAGATAAATTTACCAACATTATTAGGAAAAGCTTAGGGTAGGACTCGTAGGTTTACGGAATGTAAAAAAAAAACGTTGAAAAACGACTTTTCTACAAACAGCAGTAAAATGGTGTAATGATCTTCCCAAGCCGTAGAGGCATAGAATAGATAAATTAGTATTTTATTTTTTGATGAAGATCTACATAGGACTATAGGTAGTTGTTTAAAACACTACGTAAGATACGCGATTAAAACTGCTCATAATCAAATGAATTCTTCCTAATGAACATCTGAGAAATTTTACTTCCACTATGAAAATTCGTCTTGACTAACTATTATTTATTTACGAGTTTCGTGACAATTTATTTCGACGTTCACACCTCAATTTTTTTTCTAGGAACTCTTGATATTCTTCGGTCGATACAAAAAGTATTGACTATTCGATTTTTGTCACAATTTTTTTAACTGACATGTGGGACCTTTATACAACATGAAAGCTTTACAATATTTACGATTTGTTTGATTTCCCTAGGGAGGTGAAACGTTCATTTCGATATTTTTTTTCTTCGATTCGATTTTAGACTTCTAAGGGCGAGTTCAAATGAGGGTGGCAAAAATTTGCGGCTTGATGTTGAAAATTGTTTCAAGTCGAACGGTTTCTGTTGTAGCGTTGTGCGAAAAGTGGAAAATTGTAACTGTTATCCGGCTAGAAGGACCAGATGTTCCATAATTGCAAAATCTATGTTTTAACAAAATAATTTCAAAGCTGCCTATGAAAAATGTCTTAAGACAGGTATCAGTTTCAATAAACTATTATATTTTGATCATTTTTGTTGATTTAACATTTCGAAAATATGCTACGCTGTGCGAAAAAACTGGTGATGTTAAAGAAGTGCCAAAAATTATATTTCTGTTTGTAATTCATATAAAGTTTTTATTCACTTCAACTTCTAACCATTTCAGCAATGGTTTTCAGTTTTTTCTTCTTGATTTTCCAATAAACTTACAAAATTCATAACATTTGGTTTTAAGTATATTAATCCCTTCAAACATAAACTATGGATGATCTGTTGGTAGCCAGTTGTTAACCGAGCCCCACATATGAAATCGCTGCTTTTTTTATTTCAGATTCAGTTCTTCTCACTTTGAAGATTGTAGAATATTTTCAGTTCAAGTCAAGGACTCGTATGTTCACAATTTTTATCAAGTAATCCATACTGGGAATCACATGTTATCGTTAGCTCGCACAGAGGTTAACATTTGATATTTCAAAAACTTCTCAATCATTTCAGTAGTGTTTTTTTTTTAATCAATTGCAACAGTGGATTTTCATTATATTTTAAATTTTGGAAAATCTAAAACAATAAAGTCTGTTTCTTTGTTTTTATTTCCTTATTTCAGTGTAGGTTTTTGTTTTACTTTTCCATGTTTTTTTCTAAAACAACTTCTTGACAATTTGATTTTGGATAATTCTTCAAGTCGTAAGATTTTTCACATATAAAAGTTTTTATCTCTGAAGTGGCATCAGAATCATTCCAGTGATGGTTTAATTTTTTTATTTATTTCTTGAGTTCTGGAAACAGATCAAGTTTTTAAATATGCTACCTTTTTCGAACGGTTTTGTTATGATTTTTGTGATATCATCAAACTGGAAAATATTGAATTCACTTTTTTTGAGCGTTTTTGAATGTAAAGCTAATAAAATATGACAGAAACTTTTTGTCTTGAAATATTCAAAAAAGGTTCCGCCGCACAAGTTGTCATTCTCACTCGCCCAGAAAATATATATATTTATGTGACATTCCAATGTCTAAGTAATATTTGTTATAATTTTTTCTATTTATTTGCAAAGGTATCATTTTCATTTTAAAACGTCTCCCTTGATTTTGTACAGTTATGTTAAATATCACTTGTGTATAGTGCAATTTTGTTTTTTTTTTAAGATTTATTTATGTCTGAACTTGAAATATATTGATCGGGATTCTTTTAAAATGGACTGACTATATTATTTATTGAATAATCCAGTAGATGAACTAGGTGAAATGAAGCTGTGATTTTGTATTTTTTTTTCTTCGATTATATGTATAGTTGTAAGGGCTGGGACTGAGGTTTTCTCCCAGTTTATTTACTGGAAATATATCTTTTTTCTCATTCAAAAGGGTCTGACATAGCCTTCGACAAAAATGTTAGCTACTGCCCAATTTACCCTGCTGGTTCGTATTTTTGCTTTAGTAGGTAAGGAATTTATTGCCAAACTTTGTCATTCAATTTAAGATTCTTATGAAAGTTCAAACATTTTTTGAAAAAAGGTACCACTGTTCATTGCCTATAGAGCCTTACAAATTCTTCAAAATAGTTTTAGGTGATGATCCAAATTGTATGGAACTGGATTTTTGTAATTTCTGCTCTAACACAACTCTTAATTATTTTTTTTTTTAATATTCATGCTCTATAATTATGATTTTGTTGTCGCTTCGTTTCTGCTACAAATGATATTTTGGCAAATTATATGATCTTTATGGAATGCGTGAGGTGATCAACTTTGTTCCATTGTTTCGAGTTGTTGCAGTGTTTAGAGAGATTTATCGAGCGAAAATGTGAAGCAGCGGGGTACACTTGGGTATTCACGGAATGTACTACACGTTGAGATATCGTGCCTTTTCAGATTGTCCACAGGGATATGCTGAAAAATATTTTGAATATATTTTTTTAAATCGGTGTATTCTTAAAAAACCGAAAACCAAATTTTGAACTTATAGTTGTTTATGTGTTGTAGGCAGTTTATAAGGATAATTTTGTTTTTCCGTTATTCGAAACGTGGAGGTCAGGGTAGATTGAAAGGGGCACACTATAACTACTGCTATTGCAGCGTGTCTTCGACCCTCGATCCGGTGTTTTGTGTGTAAAATAGTTCTGGAGATTCCTATGCTCTTACAGAGAACGTGAAGTAACTCGATTTTGCCCGATTTTGTTCCTTATAAAGGGCCTTCGTTGGGGAGGTGTTGGATTACGGAAGTTATTGAGGAATGATATGCGGAAAGTTACTTTTTTGTGGTGGAATCAAACTTTCGTTGAACTTTTCTGGGAATTTTCACCTTCCACAATCTGAAAAAATGAAAATTTCGCTTGGAACTTTATGCAGGTGTAGAAAGGAAAACTTCCAGTTCACTACAATAAAGTGCTGCGTGAATTGAAAATATTTTTCTCCAAGAAAAGTTATTTTGCTGGGATGGAAACATAATTACCAGTATCATTGAAATGTTGAAACATTTATTCGCACATTTCATTTCATGCTGCATGAATTGAATAATTTAATACGTTAAGAGCAGGTCAACTTTCAGTTCTTTATGTTAACGTTAATTTTTAGACTTTCTGGGCATTCTCTTGCGTACATCTCAACGAATCTTGTGTTCTGTCATTCTATGTCTCTAAGCAAGATGTAGAAAATGACCGAATGGCATCAAACTGATTTCAAAGAACACCTTATACTACATTAAATGTTCAAATAGTCAATCAACAGCTTTGATATAGTTCATACTTCCAATTTTATTTGACATCTGCTGAAAAAATTAGAAAATATAGAATCTTTCGATAAGAGAACTGCAAAATGTTTCCGATTTACAGTTCTGAGGACCGAATCAGATTTGGGTCCGCGAAACGTCAAGTAGCCAGCAACTTTTTTTACGGGTGAAATTATAATCGGGGTAAACTAAAAGTGTGTCCCCACCACCTGTATAAAGTTCTCCACCACAAAGTCCCGGAGAAAGTCGCTGAAAGGGAAGGTTTTTACATGGAACAAAGTCGCGCGACATAGCTGAAGCCAAATATTGTATTGACAACATTACTTTGTGAAGTTTTACACTGTTAACTGATCAGAATCGGTTTTATTTTCATATGCGTGCCACCGCGGGTGGCGCGGAACTATTTTTAGACAGTAAATTATCGTAAACTCGTTCGACGACTACCTATCAATAAGTCACAATTGGATCCGTTTCCGATTTGTAAAAAGTATGCGAAGAAGCATTTAGTTAAGGTAGCTTGTAATAGAGTAGACGTAAGTTAGGGTTAGCTAAGGTAGGTTAAGGTAAAGTCTAGATACCTTAGAATAGATAAAAGAATCGATACCCGGCTTCGGTGAAATATTTGCCCGGCCTTTAGTTAGTGTTTATGATATATAGATATATTTAATGCTGGAAATCTGGTCATGTTTCAGTGCAACATCCGTTGATTTTTTTGATTTGTTTGTGGAAAATGGCCAGTTGTCAGTATGCGTTTTAGTCAAGAGGGTGCGCCGCCGACTCATATCTCACTGGAACAGGGTCGATTGAGAAATAGTATATAGTAAATGTTTTTTATTGTTGATAAGTTTAAAGTGTATGTTTTTTGTTTTTTCTTTTTGTATTGTAAGTCTTTTGTGTTGGTAAATATACTGTATTTGTCCAAACAGTCTTTTAGTTACCTACAGCGAATTAATATGATTGTCCAGAGAACAAATTATAAATCTGTTTTACTGATTTCACAATAGACTGAACTTCCATCTCTTATTCAATAGTCAAACTCACAAAATTGTAAGATTACAGGTGTCTTGACGGCAGACTTAAAATATTTCCTCTAGATGGAGCCACATTCGTTCTATAGAGAACTCTGTATTGTAGAAAGGATTATTGAACTTTGTTTCCTCATCTTGCTGAGCAAATCAATTTCACATCATAATTCTGGATTGGCTAAATTATAACGCTCCAAATAATTTTTGGACAAAGCAGTTAACCTATGTTCGTTTTTCAGTGAACTAACGTTTGCTGTGCTGCCATCTCTCCTAAAGTAGCTCAACTATTCATACTTTAGATATACTCTTCACAGAACTCTGTATTCTGTAAAAAAGTTTTGACTAATATGAAATAGATGGCAATATGTCTAGGAAAATATTCTTCATTTTTCGACTCTTAGTATTATGAATACTCTGACGCATTAGTTGATAAAAATTAATAACACTGTCCATGATAGTAATTATAAAATTTGGATAATAAATTTTATTCAAAACGCGTTTCACTACATAAAATTTATTGTCTAAATTCTATAAATATTATCATATTTCGAAGTACCCTAAGTATACTTTTTCCAGCAAACTAGACTATAATTCCAAAATATTAGGCACTAAATTCTCAGAAATAACTGACGTTTTGGCTCTAATATGTCTCTTGCAGTGGCATTGATAAAATATATAGTATCACAACCTTCTGAGAATTTAGTGCCTACTATTATGGAGTTGTACTATATATATTTCCCTTATGAAAAACAGTTTTCTATAAATTAATGTTTGAATCCACCTTACATTCTCCAGAATTTTGTGATGAATGGTGTCTGTGCAAATATTAAAAACATTTTATTGGTTCGAACTTATTTCCTACATTGAAACGAGCTTAATAAATTTCTTCCTTGCTTTATTCAATTTTTGATAATATATACAAAAATATATTCATATAAAGATATTCACATGGTGAATTGAAGGAAGAAATGTTTTACTGTAAGAGAGTTATTGTTAGGTCAATTTTTAATTTCAGTGGAAAACTCTTGTTATATTATTGATTTGAAACAAGAAGAAACGTCAAATACATATTATTGCCCAATCTTCAATACTTATATTAAACCATATCAAACATAAAAAAAACATCAAATAGTAGTTTTGCTAAACCTTTTACTTTATTCCAATAACTCTCTATTTTCTTTGCAACTCACTGAAACATGACGAATAACAATTAATGGATATGTAATTTGTCTCTTATAAACTAATGATTGATTTGAACTGTATTTTTTTTCTTGGATTGAAGACATTTAATGCCAACCCAATTGAATTACACTATACAAATAACCTCTTTGTCAAAGAAGCAAAACTAAATTTATTAAAATGATGTACAATAATAAAATCGATAAATATAAAAACTTTCTGAAAGTCAATTTCATTTTACTTTCCTAGCAGAACGTCGCAGAGAATCATTCCTGAAAACAAACGAGGCATAATTATCGTGTTTAGTGATTTACTAAAAACTGTTCCGTTGACAGATAAAGTAGTCTCATTTAGTTAACATTTCACAAAAAAATATAAATTTACTTTCTATTATTTTTACAAATAATTCATCTCGCTGAAAACTATTTATTTATAAACAGTTACCAGGAAGAATTGAAAACACAAAATTCCTAGAGGAATTTTAAAACAAATTGAGAAAAATTGTTTGTGACTATAATTTTTTTTTTATATTATACGTTAAGTATTGTTTTTTTTTTCTGTTGAAACCCCTAATAACAAATAGCTTCTTTGGAGAAATAAAAGGATAGTTCAAGTCGAATGAATCACTAAAAGTGTAACACCTTTACATAATAAAAGAATACTCACTTTGATGTCTTTTCCGAGTCAATTACTTTACTGCCATTTTTCTTGGAAAGAGGCAAAATAGATGAGCTGTTAGACCTCAAACTTCTTTGAGAACCGAAGCTACCATTTGGTGAACTGAATGACGAAATGTTTTCCATCTCTTGGATCTGAAAAAAAAAATCATCAAAATATTTGACAGTGTTAAAAAAATGTCGCGATTTTATTCCATTAAAGTCAGAAGTATATTTGTTATCATTAGATGAAACCGAGTCCAAAAATGAAATATTGTTAATCCAATACCAGACAGCACTGTTTCGACTTACTAGGCTGAACCACGAAGTCATTTGTGTTTAGCCCACGAACCAAAAAGGTTAGGTCCTTACATCTCCATTACGATGGCGTTATATATGAGATCGACGGCAAACTTCAACTTTACTCATCCGAAATAATAATATTATTGTCCCAAGAAATATGCATGTATATCGTAGAATAAAAACAATGATTCAAAACAATAACAACCAAGTACAAACGGAGCAACAAACAATAAAATTAACAAAAAATAGATGATTGAATATACTTTCAGCGTCAAAAGAAATGATTAAGTATAAGTTATATCTAAATATGATTCTAAATAGAATTAAACGAGCTGTCTTTTCAAATGGTTTTCGAATGCTCATGAACCCTAATAAAATAAATCAATTATGCATTCATTCCACCCCCCAAAAATAAGGAATTCAATGTTACTGGTATATTAGCCATATTGTCATCCAGTCAGCCAGTCCCCTCTCTGTAGTGTATGCGACAATGTGCTCTTTCTAATGTCAATGGTTTCCACAAACTTCGTATTTTTGTCAAAATAATTTTGAAATGAATGTTGAGTTTAGTATTGTTAAAGATGACTCCCGACAAATTACCAAGAATCGATTTTGAAATGATCGATGAATTTTACTTGAAAAATTTGCAATACTTTGGTACCGAAATGAGGAATGAAAAATTCAAACGGTAGGTGGTATATCTAGTAAGTCCCTTTTATTTATATGACATTCATTTCAGACTTTGTCTTTTATCGAAGGATGGAGAGTGTTGATTTAATTTTTATTTTATCTCGGCCAAGGAGCAGAATCGTGACTGAAAAAAGAAGCAAAAATATGTACAGTGAAATTTAGAATTACTCCAGAACATATCAATCCAAGAATAACCTGAAAAAATATTTTTCGGAATGTAAACTAATGACACGGAATATGCAGCAAAATATGCATCCGGCGAAACCCACCTGTTTCAAAAAACGTTCTTTAATTAGATAATTGTAACAGTTGTATTAACACCGAGTTGACAACAATAACAACAAAAATGGCGTCTGTCTAATTAGATCATCAGATCTGTGATTGGATATTAAAAACCAATACACTTGGCAACTCCGCTCTAGACGCGATCAATTTTATTGGTCAACAGATACGCGGCCAATTTAAATTCTTGCTTTTCGAATTATTCTTTTTTCTGCAAATATAAAGAGATTTTGGGATCGATTAGGCTTGATAAGTATAATATACCCCTAACTCGATCAGTCTATAACAGAAACCGAATGATATTAAAAATGCTCAGACTGTTAAGGAATTCAAAAAACGCCTTATCAGATTCATACAAATTGTGAAATGAATTTGATACCTATTTTATATTGTTTTGTCTTTAGATAAATTTATATGTAACTACCTGCATACTTATTTTTATTTGTATTTTTTAATATTGGTCTTGTCAGAAAGTTAATAATGATTTTTTTAATATTACTACATGTAATTTTGTATGTAAATTATGTTTTCCTATTTACAATAAACTGTTATTATTATTATTACAAATTGTGAAATGAATTTGATACCAATTTTATATTTTATATTGTTTTGTCTTTAGATAAATTTATATGTAACTACCTGCATTCTTATTTTTTGTATTTTTGTAATATTGGTCTCGTCAGAAAGTTAATAATATTTTTCTAATATTACTACATATAATTTTGTATGTAAATTATGTTTTCCTATTTACAATAAACTGTTATTATTATTATTACAAATTGTGAACAGAATTTGATACCAATTTTATATTTTATTTACCTGTGATATGTCGTGTATAATAGTATGTAAAATAGTGTCCTGATCCGAATCAAGATCTTCAGAAACTCTAGTGTCGCTATTCTGACTCCTCGTCCTCCGTATCGTCTTCGAATCGTTCTGGATATCGGGAAGTCTTCGATCTGAAAAATTCTCGGGAATAAAAAAACCCTTACTTAAACCCAACAACGTACCTATCGAATTTTCAGCCCTTTTTTGTTTCTGCAACCTCGCTAAAACATTATTTCTCCTCCCGTCCACTCTCCCGACCTTATTCAAATCCAAACTCTGCAACTTGAGCCTTTTACTCAACCTCCTCGCTTCCTTCTCGAGATCACTTGAACTTTCATTATCGCTCCTCTGGCTACCGAGCCCTCCATTGTTTTTACCGATGGTTTTGGCTTTAATTCTCCTCTTTGATCTCCCCACAATATCCGGAAGGCACTTTTCTCTCTTTTGCCTGTTATTAGAGTCGGAATTTTCAGTTCTGTTCGATTCAGCAGAGTCAGAATTCGTCAACCTGAGATTCTCTTCAGTCTGCAAACTCTCTTCCGAAGTCGATTTGTCAGTATTGTCAGTGCTCGGTGATTTATCCTTGTCGGTATTTTGTTTGGTCGAACTATCGTCTGATTTGGTATTCTTATCAATTTGCAAAGCATTCAGATTAGCCCGAGTCACGCAAACTTTGAGTTTTTTGCTCAATGGCTTCATACACCTCAGTCCGGCTTCGGAATCAGTGGTTAGCGCGTCGCTTTCAGTTTCGAGGAGATCATTCGTAGCTTTACTTCGATCCTTTCTTTGACGTGCCTTCTTCGGCCTTGTTCGCTTTTTGTTTTCAACTTTTTTGCCTGAGTTCACAGGAGAACTTCTATTTTCGTCCACCTCGCCAACTGAACTATCCTTATTTGAAACTACATCTTTGTTTCCAGAACAATCGTTGACTGCTTCTTCTTGGTTTTCTTCAGTAGAGTCGGTTTTGTTCGTGGGGATTCTACCGCTGTCTCTATTGTCAACGTTGATGTCATTTCTACTCGAGTTATTGCTGACATCAGTATTAGAAGCTTCAGCATTTGTTGCTTCTTGTATAGTTTCTAGCGTTGTTATTCCGCTTTGTTCTTCCAATCTGGATTTCAATTTATCCAAGAATTTCTGCATATTTTTTTTGGGTGCTTTCTCCAACAAGTTTTTCTGAAAATATTGTTTATAATTACTTACAGATCACTTAGAAAAAATAACAAACAATATGAGAGTTGATATCTCCAAAATTCAAGGTTTTGGAAACATTTCTATAGACCCAAGGAATTATGTTTTGTTTTCCATACACCAGTGTGAGACATAGTCACCTAGAACAATGCATGTTCTACCAACCAATTGGATAAACACATAGATGTGCCGCAGGGTAGCGTTTTAGGACCTCTGCTTTTTATCTTATACTTGAATGACATGAACTTGTTTTTGAATGTTAATTTTTCACATTTTATTTTCAGATAATACACTTTTAGCATGCTATGATACAAGCTCAGATAAAGCTATTGATAAAATGAATGTTAATGAATACCTCATGGCGAATAAATTAAAACTAAAAAAAAATAAAAACTAAAGGGATGATTGTAACAACCTCGACTTAAATGAAATGAATCTACATATCGATAATGAAAACACTGAAATTGTGTGACATATTAAATATCTTGAATTCCAGTTAGATAATTTATTACTTTTTGGCAATCATTTCAATTATATATGTAAAGAAATATTTAAAAAACTATATTTTTTTGCAAGAATTTCTAGTAATTTATCCAATCAGTCTAAAATTACTGTATACAATGCGATTATCTCAACACATTTTGATTACTGTGCTTCTATTATTTTCTTGTTTGNGTAAGTACCAGATTTGTTACATCTTTTTCCTTGTAAGTACCAGAATTGTTTCATCTTTTAGTAATGTAATCACTAGACAAAAGGATTTATTAATATTTCGTATTTCACATTTTACTAAATGAGCATTCCAAAATACTTTGTAGTTCTTCACACTTTGTTAAATATGTTTTTGCAGATTGTCTTTTCCGTTGAACAAAAAAATAAAAATAATAAAACTCACCTCTGTCAATATAATTTCAACTTCAGAAATCAATTCCTTGACAGAAGAACTGTTTCCCATCGGAATATCTAAATGCAGCAAAAACTTGGATAAGTAAAGAACGATAGACGCATTCTTCTTCTTCATCATTTCGTAACAGTAAGCATGTGCCATACTCAGATGAGTATTGACCGGGCCCTAAAAAAAATTATAACATCACAACATGGCCAAATTTAATCAAAAAATGAACCTCATTCAAGTAATATGGTGGAACTGAACGATACTTGATGAAAATCCATTATAACATATAAAAAAACAATTGAGATTTCCACTTGAAAGTTTACAAAACCGCGACACGTGTCTGTGCATCACAATACAATGCTATCATGTATAGTAGTCTTTCTCAAAGTGGGCGATAACGCCCCCTTTTGTGGGCGCTGGACGCCTATAGGGGGGCAGTAAAGAGCACAGAGAAGATTGGAGGGCATTGAAGCGGTTTAGGGGGGCGATGGCTAATTTAAAAATGTTTTTTTTGCTTTTAACACAAACTTTACCGCTCCTTTACGCTTAACGAGCGTTTCCTCGTGTATCGCCATGTAGGGGACCAGATAGTAACTATTTCCTGCCCGATAGTTGTGAAACTGTACAATAGATGGCGGTAAGCTTCAATGCGAAGCGAGAAGTTTCTAGTCTCCATTCTCGAAAGTACTAGGCCCGTGCGCTGAGTCATATAAAAGCGCGCGCGCCATCCAGCCAGTAATGTCATTCGACGATATTACGAAAACAAGTGATTTTAGTTAGCGACTAGCTAGTACGTGCGGTGGTGATTTACTGTGAGTGGTGTCATTAGCAAGTTTTTAATACTCGATTCTTTACTTCGGTATTTTTGAAGACAAAATTATGTCGGAAGCAAAAAAGAAAAAACGGCAGTATAGCGCGGAATATATAAAATATGGATTTATTGAAAATCCCACAAATCCATCTTTGCTTATGTGCCTTCTTTGTCAAAAAACATTTTCGAATGAAGCGATGAAACCCTCAAGGCTACAAGATCATTTGAATAAAATGCATTCAGATAGAAAAGACAAAAGTGTGACTCATTTTCAAGAACTGGAAAAGAAACACTCTACTCAGTCAACTGGTCAAAACTTTTTTCAGGGGCTTCTAAGCAAGACGACGACGGACTCTGAGCTTCCTACAATATCTTTTTGCTAATTGCTCAAACAGGTAAACCTCACACTATTGGAGAGGATTTAGTTTTACCGGCAATAAAAGAAGTAATAACTACTGTACTCCATAAACCAGCGGCAGATATTTTCCGAAAAATTCCGTCCTTTTCAACCTATTGCTATTTCACACTAAAATGCGTTGGTTATTAAGAGATAAGTGTCTGACTCGATTTTACAATTTATTTGACTCTGTAATAGAGTTCTTGGAAAACAAAGACAAAGAATTGCACGACAACCTCATCACTACAAAAAATGATATTGCGTACTTGACAGACCTGTATAAATTATTTAATAATGTCAATCTCCAACTTCAAGGTGACGACTTGAATTTGAT